AATTGGATATTTTAAATACACTATGCTATTTGAGGGAAAAGGAGAGGGAATACTTGATGTATTGATTGTACTATGTATATATGTTTTGTTCTAGGATGTTTGATTACCCCAGCACCACGGTGTGTCCTGAGTACTTTGTTTTAAGAATTAAAAAACCAATAAAATTTGTTTAAAAAAAAGAGAAAGCAATCCAATTGCGCCAGCAGCCGGGGACTGGGAGCTGCAGGCGCACTACCCAAACAGCTTACAGTACTCTCTTGAAATCCCTTCCACAACCTCTCTGCTCTGCAGAAGGGGGAGGGGAGAGGGGAAAAAAATCAAATGAATTCTGTAGGCAATCTCCCCTTTGCCAGACTCCTTTCCCTTCCATGCAGAAAGCTGAGATATTGGAGGGGGATTGTAAGAGAGTAAGCTTTTGCTCTTGTGCACATCAAAAGCAATATGATTGTACTCACAGCCTGGGGCTGGGATATGTGGGTGTGCTACACAAACAGCTTACAATACTTTCTTGAAATATCTTCCTCTCCAATCTCTCTGCTCTCGGAGGATGGGGAAGGGAAAAAAGCAAGCAATTTCTGTAGGCAATCTCTCCTTTGCCTGACCCTTTCCCTGCTGCCAGTGCGATTACATTGCTTTCTGTGTCTCGAAGAGCAAACAGCTTGCTCTCTTGAAATCGCTCTCCAATCTCCATGCTTGGGGGGGGGAGGCAAGAATTTCTTTGAGGGGAGAACAAAAAAAACACAAGTCAGGCATAGGTCAATGTATACTGATTATAATGCAAACACATGACTGAGGGAAGTAATCTTGGATATGTTCAGAAATTGGCCATTAAGTAATTTTTTTCAGCACCATTGTAACTTGGTCACTGAATGAGTAGCTGGTAAGGACACAAACACACAAATTACATTTAATAAAAAAATAATTATCTATCTATCATTCATCTATCAATCATCAATCAATCATCTATCTATCTATCTATCTATCTATCTATCTATCTATCTATCTATCTATCTATCTATCTATCTATCTATCTATCTATTTACCTACCTACCTGCCTGCCTGCCTGCCTGCCTGCTTTTTAATCAGCCTAGATTCTATTACATTTAAATGAAGCCTTATATAGATCATTAAATACTTAAACTTTGAGTCTGTCTAAGAGTTTTAAAACCTTTTGCAGGAATAACCCTCAAGATTCATTCTAGATTAAAAATAAATGCTAAAATAAGCACATTTTAGATGACATACAGTTTACTAAGTAAAATCCTAACCTGAAATTTAAATACTTCAGTAGAAACTTTGATTTAATCAGTTGAATATATTTATCATACAAAGCTTTGAAAAGATGTTATTTACTTTGTTACCACTATAAATTTAACATAAAAATATCTGGTACCTTGGTATTTAAGTTCATGACAGAAAGAGGCTGTCTGATTGTCATAAAGGCTAGTGAATAAAACTTTTTATGATGAGCCCAAATATTTTGCAACTGTACAGCTATGTGAGGCATCTTGTGTTTTTCCAGTGGCATAATGTGAAGGTCATATTTGATCTGTCAATCATGAACAAAACATCAGGCCTCTCAGATAAGCTCTTGCTCTATGGCTAGAAGTGGAATCTATGACCTCTTTTTAACTATCAATCCTATCAACATCCCTAAAACATTCTGGGTGGGGATGATATGAATTGCAGTCTGACTTCTGGAGAATCAGAGGGTTTTTTCCACTGTTTCAGAGGAACATCATTTCTGGCGTGTGGATTAATGTATGTAAATGAAGCAATCTATTTGACATGTAGTGCTGAGATACAGCGCAGGGACTTTAGAATATGCTATAGAGTGGCACAATGTATGTATAAAGAGTGAATGAAATCAAACAGGGTTGTACCTGTCATAATTACACAGAAATTTAATTAGTAAGGCCATTATTCATACAGAATCACAGATTTGGAAAAGACCTCAGAGGTTAACTAGCCCTTACTTAATAAGTCCCCCTAACTGTTCTTTTACTTTTTTCTTATGTATTCTGAGTTGTACCACCCAATGATTGCCTTCTACAGCTTTGCTTCTGAGAGGAGACAAATGTAAAACACAAATTAAAATATTTCTCCCTTCCTCTCTGTAATAGATTTACAGCGTGTTTTACTCTTCTTTTGTTTCTGCTGTACACCCAGAAAAGGCCTTTTTATTATTTGGGATATTTTTCCAAGCTTCTGCATATTCTAGCCTTTCTATTTTACTGACACAAACTGTATAGTTTCTGATAATTGCTTTATATTCCTTTTTCGGTTATGTTCCTCTCCTACCATTTTTGTTTTGTTTTGTTTTGTTTTTCAGGATTTTAGCAAATTGGGTTTCCATGCAGCTTTCTTCATACATCCCCCTTTTTATTCCATATTATTTGTTCATGCACTTTCAGAATCTTCTTTCAAATAATTTTATATCCTCATCTAATCCTGTACTACTTTAGTATTTCATGCCATTGGCTCTGAGTTCATTACAATCTGCTCCATTGAAATTCAATGCACAAATCTGACTCTTCTCTATTTCCTCTCCCCTTGATATCATGACTTCAAGGACAATGTAGTCACTTCCTACCAACATTCCAGTTACTTTATCAAACATTCTTAACAAGATTTCCAAGTTCTAACTTATTAATTCTGTACAAGCATGTGCTTTTTTGTCTAACTACAACACCCCTTCCCTTTCTGCTGGACCTGTTCTTTTTGAATAAATGTCAATTGTGTCATCTCACCAAGTTTCTGTGATGGTTATCACATTTTATTTATATATATATATATCCTCCTTTGTTAGGGTTCCAAATTCTCTTTATTTGCCACACACTGTGTTCATTGCTATAGAAACATCTGAAATTGTGGTGGTACTCCTGCTCGCTTTATTACATAGTTTCCAGCCAATGAGCCCTCTCTGCCTGTCTGCTTCTCCCTTTATTTCTTGTATTGTTGGCCCTGTTCCTTGGAAGTGTATTCAGTTGTTGACTTTTGTAAAAGTTCTTTCATTCTGGTTTAATGTATTCTTGATGAAATCAGTGAGGTGCCAAAAATATCCATCACAGTCTTTGTAGCTTGCCTCTTGGCAGAAGGTCTTTGTGTGGCAGCATAGCCCATGATCAAAAAACATAAATCTTTCTCAGTGGTACCACCTTGACAGACCATCCTATTCACTTCCAAGCCTTAGTTCCTTTCAGCAGGAAAATGCCCATCATCAGGTAATTACCAACCATCATGAAATGCGTGCTATTCCACCAATTAGTTCTTGGGTTTCTTTGAATCATGGAGATCTGAGAGTCTTTCATTGTGGCAAGGCTTGCCAGATAGTTTCTGTATATGGACCAAATGACCACATTGCAAAAACAAGCAGACAATTCAATAATGTAGGATAATCGCTAAGAAAAACAGTGTTCCTCCTCCATAAAATGATAAAATGCAATATAATTCATAATGATTTCATCATATGGAGCCATCATGTTTAGTTCCTTCTTTCTGCTTATAAGAAAAAAAGAAGTGCAATCTAAGTTTTACTCTTAATATCACTGAAGCTATACAGCTAAGTTGCCAGATTCTATACCATCTTCCTCAAGTACAGTACTACTCTTGTTTCCTTCTAAGTAGTACTAAGGGTAGATATCTGTAACACATCTTGTTCATCACATCAGTATAGAATATTTTGAAAGTTTCTTGGGGATTTAAGAAAAAAATTCTGGTTATTTCTGAATGTTATTTCCCCATTCAAATCCTTAGGCTCTCCTTGTTGGACATCTTCTGCCATCATATTTACATTAAACAGAGAATAACTGCATGAGCCCGAAGGGTCTTCTCCTAAAATATCTGAAAAGGCACCCTCCAAATGTTTCTTTTATATTATAAATCTTGTATCTAAATATCCCACTTATTGATGACATACAAAACGAAAACCAAAGGAAAAGAACAATACTAAAAAACAAAAAAGAAAGATTGTTATCCTGGTGGAACAGACAAAACTCCTCACAAAAGGTGCCCATAACCCAAAAGAAAAGCAGGGCAGCAGTAGTATTCTGAAGGGATACTGTTCCAGAGGGTAGGCATACAATAGAGAAGGCATGTTTCTTGCATCTCGTCAGATGACATTGTTTAATGCAGTGGTTCTCAACTTTTTAATGCCGCGACCCCAACCGGTCATAAGTCGAGGACTAAACCGGTCGTAAGTCGAGGACTAAACCGGTCGTAAGTCGAGGACTACCCAACCGGTCGTAAGTCGAGGACTTTCCCTGCCCGGGAGCGCCGCGCATGCGTGGTTTCGCCCCCTGCGCCGGCCGAGGCGTAGCTGGCAAGCGGCACAGACGGAGCAGGCCGACCACCAGCTGGCCCAGCCCAAGGGAGGTAAGGCACCCGCCGGAAAAGGGGGAAAAATGGCGGACAAAAAAAATGGCGGACAAAAAAAATGGCGGACAGCCTTGCTTGGCGACCCCCACGAAATGGTCGATCAACCCCAAATGGGGTCCCGACCCACAGGTTGAGAACCACTGGTTTAATGGATGAAACACAGAGCAGCTGACTCTGTCAAAGCTTACAGGATAGCTAGAAACAATGGGAAGAGACAGTTCTTCAAATATCTAATCATTACAATATAGAGAGCTTTATAGATAATAGCATTGCTATAACTTAATATGCTACCACATTCTGCATAGTGAAACTTCCAAAGACCAGCCCTATGTAGAGTAATGCATTGCAGTAATTCACACATGAGATAACCAAGGCATGAATGTTCCTAAGAAGGGGCTCTTGGTCCAGCAACATTCATAATTAATGCATGAGATGAATCTGTGCAAAAGCCCTCCTGGCTATAGATGCTACTTGATCTTTAAGCCACAATCTTGCTAGTGTTGAGTTTAAGCCTGCCCATCCAGACCTTTATACCTTCAGACACTGGGATAAGACCTTGAAAAAAACATTCCACTCCCAAGATTTTTTTGTTAACAAATACACATATGCTTAAAAAAACTTACATTATCATGTGGCCGATTATCTTTTCCTGATAAGATCAAGAAGTAATTCCACACCAACAGCAGGAACAAGACCAGTGGAATCATGTACAGCTCAAAATTCCATGTTCCAATAAGGAAAAGCTGGAATCAAGAAAAAAAATATTTATCTTCAGATATCCTGCAATAAATTAATGGAATACATATAAGGGAAGCTTCCTTTGATATTCATAATTGCGCAGTTTCCTGTTTCAGCAAATTGGGGGATTTTGAGGATATGGAGAAAGTACAAGAATGGAAGAAGAATTATATATTCATTTACAATGGAGTTAAAAGTCAACTTCATTCACAGAAATAAACTACTTAATTCCTCCTTTAATGTACAAAACATGGAAGAAAACAGATATTTCAAATTTCCCAATCACACTTATTTTTAACTGCTCGGCTAAATAGAGTAAAATCTCAATTTAGCAGAATATTCAGGGGAAGAGGTGTCTCTTAAATCTGAACATCTGTTAAAATTTATATCATTTGTGTCAACGTTCTTCATTTTTATTATTATGCAGTTGACTTAAATGGCATCATTTGCAGGGAAGTCACAATTAAAAGGGCAGATTTAGGGATGAAGGCCACATAAAACATTTGTCCATTGTATCTAGAGTGTGTTCGATCAAGATCCATTAAATCAAGGCTTAAGAGTCATGTGACATGGGCAGCTATACAAATATTATAAACAAAATAAAAGAAATTGTAATTCTGTTTCTAGAGAATGCCAAGCAATTAATTCAAGGCAAAGAACCTAATAACATTTCTCATTTTTGTTTCTCACACAAGAAGTGAAATAACAGTTAATCTATTACCACAAATAATATAATCATTTTCATCTCTTTACATTCAAACCAGAAGTTTGTTTTATTTTGAAGAAATAAAAGTTCAGGTGTCCCTTCTTATAGCTATGTTGATTCTTTGGGTGGTGGTGGTGGGGAAGTTCCAAAGCTTTAATCATCCATATAAGAAAGTTTTTTAGTATTGTCAATATGACTGCTAGTAACCTATCAATACTTTTTCTAAGATGTTCTTAAGAAAAATATTCCAAATGAATAGTCTTATTTAGAAATATACATTTTGGCAATGTATTTTTATAATACTATCAACAAAAGGAACTCGAGTCTACTGCCGGGATTGGAAGGAAAGTATAGTTGGAATCTTAAGAATTGAACTGCACTTTCAAATTCCAGTTTTTATATATTACAAAGGTGTTCATTTTATATTATTATAGATGAAAGAATAATTATATTATCTCAATTTATTTTGATAACTCCCAAATAAGATAATTATTTTTGAACACTTCTTCAAATACACCTTCAAAACAACAGGCAAGAATTCTTTCTCCTCTCTCAATAGGAAAGGACAGCTCTTAAGATGATGTTTGCCAATTCATGGCTTTGTTGTGACACGTGCACCATCTAACAAATGTTTTTTTTCCTGGAGGTCTCTTTTATTCATAGGCGGTTTCTGGAGATTTGATCAATCTTTAAAAACTCAGAGTGTAATCAGTTATTGATATTGTTCAAAGATTATTTTGCCAGATCAGCACACAAAGATAAAGCAATATTACAATCGGTTAAAAGTTAGGCATTTTGATGAAAGTGCCCTTTAAGTTTTTAATTTAAACTTTACATTTAATTTTTGAACCTTTTAACCATTACATAAGCAGAATTCCAATAGAACATTGTCACCGTACATTTAATTTTCTGAGAAATTGCCAGTAAGTATATGTGATATCTATTTTCCAATAGAAAATAAAACCAATAGAAATATGGAAGGCAAAATGTAGAAATCTAGGTTAGTATAAGGCACTATTTAAATTCTTAAAACTGAGAAATCTATTATCTAGCTATTTTAAGCAGATTTGTGCAAACAAAAAGCCAGTATGATTGTAACAGAGATAGATTCACTTTAAAGTGATCAATAGGACTGTGTTTTTGAAGGACAGCTTAAGCCTTCAATCTTAAATAAAGGAGTTTCACCAATGGAAATAAAGCTTTCTTGTCTCTTATACATACAAATTCATCCCTAATCTTAGCATCCTTGAAAGCACAAAATAAGCCACTCCCAAAAATATTTTTTTTATATATATATAATTTTTTTTATTAATTTTTCAATTAAAACAACAAATACAAATGATGCATATATATACACCAACAAACAATAAAGATACTCAAAACATTTTCGGATACACTCGGCAGTCCCCGCCTTGCCTCCACCCTCATCCACTTTACCTCTCCTTCCTCCCCCTAAACCTACAACCTCTCCTCCTTTTCTTNTAATAATTAAATACATCAAATTATAATTTCCCCTAATCGCCTCCCCTCCCCGACTTCCCAGAACTAACGCACCCTAAAGCAATCAGTTATATAGAAAAAAACTTTAACTCGAATAAAAAATAAAAAAAAACAAAAATTATACTATTTTAACACCAACACTCATATATAATTATCCATCTTCCCCCAATCCAAATATCTAGAAATTAGACTTTACCATTTCTCATTATAATAATCCCATTAAATACAAAAATTAAATCCTTTAAAATAATATAATTATATATCATTGATCATCTACTTCAAGACATTCATATAATTTCATTCTTCTTATTTATAATATTAATCCCAAATTTTAAAAATATAAGCTTCAAAAACAATCCTTAAAAAAAACTTTAACTCAAATAATAGAAAAACTCTATTTTAACACCAAAACTCATAATATAATATAGTTGTCCAACTCCCCCAATCCAAATATCTAAAAATTAAACTTTACCATTTCTCATTACAATAATCATAAATCCTTTATAGTTATATATCATTAATCATCTACTTCATTCATCTTATTTATAATACTAATCCAAAATTTTAAAAGTATAAGCTTCAAAAACAATCCTTAAAAAAAACTTTAATAGTAAAAAACTCTATTTTAACACCAAGACTCATAATATAATGTAGTTATCCAACTCCCCCAATCCAAATATCTAAAAATTAAACTTTACCATTTCTCATTACAATAATCATAAATCCTTTGTAATTATATATCATTAATCATCTACTTCATTCATCTTATTATATTGCTAATCCAAAACTTTAATAATATAAACTTCAAAAACAGTCCTTAACCCAGCTCTCATCATAAATCCTTTATAATTATAATCCAAAATTTTAAAAATATAAGCTTCAAAAACAATCCTTCTAATCCAGCTCTCCATTATGCATCTCCCCCCAGTTCCATTCATTTTCACATCACTGATACAAAATCAACCTCATAATCAGTACATTTTCCATCTTTTACATTTTATAACATATCCAAAATTTTTACAAGTAGTAAGCCTGTAAACGTCTTCCAGGAGCACAAACGGCAACATCTTCAGCTGGTTTTCTCTGGTGTACGACCCAAAAATGGATTCTATATAAACCTTTTTTTCTCAAAATTTCACTAGGGAGGCACACCCAAACCATAACCAAGTCTATTACCGCTTCTTTTCCCAACTTTTCAAACTTTTCACTTTCCAAATCTCCATAACATAGCATATCATTTNCATCTTATTTATAATACTAATCCAAAATTTTAAAAGTATAAGCTTCAAAAACAATCCTTAAAAAAAACTTTAACTCAAATAGTAAAAAACTCTATTTTAACACCAAGACTCATAATATAATGTAGTTATCCAACTCCCCCAATCCAAATATCTAAAAATTAAACTTTACCATTTCTCATTACAATAATCATAAATCCTTCGTAATTATATATCATCACTCCCAAAAATATTTAAATGACAGTTTATATGATCATATAAATACTTTAATGTACATTCCTCTTTATGTAATAATAACAAGATGCTTTATGCATAAGCCAAGTATTATGTGAATCTGGAGTTAGTTCAGAATTCATTCCAGGCTGCATAAATATGTTTGCATAAATGAATACAAAATAAATTTTGCCTGATCACATGAAGTTTGGAAGCAACACAACAGCTTCAAGATAAGGTAATAGATAAGTATATTCAGTGCTTTTTTTCTAAAAAAAAAAAAAAAGGTGCCGGAACTCACACACATCATACAACCCGCCTTGCCAACCCTACAAGGTTCTATCCCAAAAAGGTGCCGGAACTCCGTTCTGGGCGTTCTATGAGAAAAAAAGTCCTGAGTATATTCCAACTCTTTCTTTTACTATCTTTCCAATTCTTTGTATATACAGTATTCAATGAAAAAGGAGAAAAAAAGAACTTATAATGAATCAATAATTCTGTTAAGGTTAACTGAAATTTTTTTTGTGAAGAACTTACATTGGAGAAGAGAGCTAAAAATTAAAGTAACAATAGATGGGAAGGAGAAAAAAACCAAAATTTTCAGAAATGTAAAAGCTTGCAACTATTTTATTAAATATACTGGATTGTTAATTTTGAGTATTTTTTTCTTGGCACTTCAAAAGTGGCTTGCCACTGCTTCCTTCCTATGGCTGAGGGAGATTAACTGGCTGAAGGTCACCCAGGTGATTTTGTGCTAAAGGCAGACTAGAACTTATGATTTCCCAGTTTCTAGCTTGATGACTTAATCACTACACCAAATTGGCTCTCATTCGTTTATTATTTGGTAGAAAATTGCATAGATTTCATACGACTTGCAATCCTTGAAATTAACTTCTCTATCTGTGTTTAAGAGCCACGTCTTTATGGACACATTATTCTCTTTTTGTTGCTGATTTAGTACACCTAATAAACTTAACTATGACATGACAGTCAATCAAATCTGGCAAAATACTGATATTGCCGAGGGCAAGGAAAGTCACATTGATCTCATTCTTAATGTGTTACAGGATAGGGAATACATGCCACTTGCCAGGGAAACTGGACTACTGTTCCTTTTTGCTATAATTCTGTGGCAGGTTTATTGCTTGTTTTTGTTGTTACCAACATTGCAGTATAATACAGAAAGTATGGATTTTTTTTTCTTCCAGTAATATGGACATCTTGGATCAAGACATAAAGTCAAACATTTTTTTCTTTTGCTTTTAAAAAAGCCAAATGACGGTGCATTTTTATGCTGAATATATTGTTTCTCAAACACCATTCAGCTCAGCTGACCATTCACATGGTT